AAGAACAAGATTAACGACTATATTATAGAATAGGAATGCTAATGATGAAGAAGAAGAGAAAAATGGGTTCTAGGGTTTTGCTATGAAAGATACGACACTACTGTCAAAGAGCGAGTGTTAATTTGCTTATATATAAATATACTCACAACAGTTTACAATACCAACTATGGTGATATATATAAATGTGTCACAACGGTGGAACATACCAACCGTAGTCATATCCCTTCAAGTTTTTTATTTAAAAATAAATAAAAAAGAAAAGACGTGCCTTAACATTAAAGGAATAATATATATGGGGGCGATGGGGTTCGAACCTATGAAAGCTTGATGGCATTATAACGGTCCTCAACCGTTGTTATATGCAAATAATTTTTAATAAAAAAACAAAAATAATATGGTAGCGCCTTAGTTTAGAGATATCACCACGGTGTAGAGAAGAACTGTGCTGACCATGGCGTTATTGTTTACGCATTTTGTAGTAGTGACATTCGTATAGTCTTCTGTTTTTTTCATTAAAAGGTATTTCTGGAGATGAATCTTCGGAGACACCCAAAAATTATGTATAATAGAACCACTTGATTATGCATAGCAGAATTTCAACACACTAAAATTGCCCAAAAACACCATCCAATTTTATAACATTATGCAGTGCATTACATACAAAAAATGTGTTACATTGTTAGATTACAACTAAAATGAATCAATTGATGGTTAATTCTTTGATCTTTCTTTATTTGCTTCTCTCTCAATGACGCTCAATTTGGTGAACCCTTCCATCCTTTCTAAAAAGTGATTCGTCCAAGTTTTAACATCTAATGTGAAATGTGTCGTCCATTCTAGTGATGTCTTTGGTATAGGACATTCCGGTTTCAAATAAATCTGAACAAAATGTTGTGTTTTTGATAGCCAACCAATACACATTCTAATATCTAATAAAACTGAAGAAAATGTGTTATCCACTCCAGCGATCTCAGATCTTGGTCCTCTTACCGCCTTGTTGTCTCGAGCATGAACATTGTATATTTACTTGATATCTAAATCATTTAGAGGTCTTTTCTGTTTCAAAGATGTGAATATGTTTTTTGGCACCACCATGTTTAATGTCATGTCTGAAACAAGTTCTCTCTCCTCTGTAACAAGGTGACATACAATGGAATAATCGGCTAGCTTGTCAGTCCAAGAATGATTATGTATACCAGAAATCAAATTAAATTTCCATGTCTCATCCACCATACGATACCCGTGCAATTTAAACTCACATTCACATTTCCTAGATCCTGTGTCATCTTGTTTCAACTTCCTAATCCTTGGTTGGTACGTTCCACTTCTTTCGCATATTATTGTTACAAATGCTTGTCTTCTATCTGAAACATTGTTGGACCTTTTGATTACAACATCAACCCCCAATTTTTTTGTCTTCCTACGGATCTATTGTAGCATATGTTCACGGATAATAAACGCATATCTTTATGTGTAAATTGTACACAAACATCTTCCAAGTGAACAACCAGTCAGGCACTCGGTTTAACATCATCACTCACTTCATTCAGTTTAACATCATCATTCACTTCATATGATTTAACATCATGCTTCACTTTGATCAATTTAACATTCACGCTCACAATAACTTTGGTAAACATATCCGAGTGCATTATATCTATTACCACCAATAACAGAAAAATAGTGTTAAAATTCAAACTGATAGGACACTCTGGATATGCACATCCAGACCATACCAAACTTCGTCCGGAGATGCATATATGGATTCAACATTTATATTTCAGCTCAAAGACAAGATTAATGCTAGGAATGAGACATGAAATGAATGATCTTTGCCTGTATTACAAGAATGAAATTTTGGTATTGAAAAGTTGATTGAGAATGAGAGAAAGTTTTTAAATAATTTTGCAAGGGTGTGATATGCAGATATAAGAGAGGAAAGAGCATTATTCGGAAAAAATTGGATTTTATAAAAAATTGCATTTTCTTCTATTAAATGGCCAAAAAATAATAATCATGAGGGTAATTGCTCCCATTTTATTTTTTCCAATCCAAACCAATCTAATTTTTTTTATTTAACTTTTTTTAAGTTAGGTTTATTGTACTATTTTTTTATTGTATTACTAGATGTTCAAGTATTACACGATTCTAAATTCAAGTTTATTAATGTGTTTCACAAGTGCACGTAATATACCGCAGTAATAAAAGATTATCGAACCCACGAGGACAAGATATCAACCTATTGTTATCTACTATTACGATGTAAATCTAAGGCTATGGATCTTAATGGGAAGGAATTTTAAAACAAAAATTTAAACAAGTTGGTTTAGAATACCTAGTAAAAATGAGACCAGAATGTGATTCAAATTGGTCAACAGTACCCACAGCTAAGTCACGTCAATTAATTAAATCGAAATAATATTTTTTGATAAAAAAAACTAATTTAAATGAACCACCCACTTTCGCGTGCTAAAGTGTAAAACTGTATCCTAAAATTTATACTGCCAATGGTGTGATTCAGCGTGCTAAAGTGTAAAACTAATATTTTTGAAAATCAATTAATTTAATTAATAAAAAATTTATTTTGGGTAAAAAATAAGTTTAAAGGTGTTACCGTCTTTCGTTCTCCAAACACCAGAGTTTAAGTTCATAAATGTTTGATGACGCACGAACGCTTATGCCTTTAAACTCCATTTTTAAAAGCAATTGTTTTTACAATTTTAAAATAAGCTTTGCTGTCGCATTTAAATTAATTGAAAATATGAATTTTCACTTAAGTCAGATACAAGTTCTTCTCTTTCGAAACGGAACTGAAATCTCTAAAATAAGACTTTTGCGGTAAATGTTTTAGTTAAAAGTAATGTAAAAATCAGTCTAAAAAACAACGACAGTCCTCAAAAGTACTGTAGAAAACGAAAATTCTCACATTCTTGACTCTAAATAACTTTGTCGGACAAATTCATAGTATTAAATATACTATTATA